CCTCCTCTTCCTCGTCCTCGCCCTGGTCCCCGTCCCTCCTACTCCTCAATCTCCTGCACCCTTTTTCTTGCCCTTTTCGTGCGAAAAAAAAGGCGCTAGCGGCAGCAATCAGCGAGGAATGCGATGATAACGTCGCTGAAGAACGACGCGTGCATAATCAGAACGCGAAGATGAATACACATAGTAGGAAGGCCGGTGGGAACAATATTGAAACGAGGGATGGGCTACGACTGCGATTATGAGGAATGATAACAAAACGAAGCGACGAATCTGTATGATGAGAAGGTGGCGATCATATGTATATATATATATATGTATATGTGTGTGTATGTATAACAGCATGCCACATTTCATTGTAATGCGCCACATTCTATAGTCTTTGGTACGTACATATGCATGCATAGTCATGTACACGCTATACGCACATCGAATCGACATGCATACGCACGAACGTGGCTGATTCTCGGAAGGGGAGGAGGGCTATAGTGAGGAAGCGGGGAAAGGGCGGGAGGGAGGGAGGGGAAAGGACGATGAAGAGGAGGAGGAGGAGGAATATTATGTATTTTACCAGGAATTATTTTCAGAACCAGGCGCATACGCAAAGATACCAGCAAACGCAAGCAGGCACACCATAATAAACATACGCAGAAGCATACACAACGCAGTGGCAGAAGCAGGCGCGGGACACATATCATACCCATGAAGAGTAATAATTCGACGAAGGATGGTACGAACCACCAAGGCACATACGAATACTACTACGAACGCGAATAGCAAGAGCACGCATAGTAATAATCGTAAGGCGAAGGGTAGTAATCCAAATAATGCTAATACTATTACTGGCATTAATAACAAGCAACACAAACTCATATTAATAATACGAGTTCGAAGCATATTACGACACGAGGAATAATACGAAACCGGCGAATACGATTGCCAAGTATAACAAGAACCACACGGCAACGAATATGAATAGCAACACACATCAACACAGTAAGGTAACATTAAGACATAGCGCGAACCATATGGTGTATACTAATGCTACTGCTACTACAAAGAAGAATCCTACGATGAAACATGATAACAACACTAATAATGCTAAGGAGACGAATGCGAGCATCACGAAGAACAGTAATACAACTAATCCGCACAGACACATGATTAATACAACGAATGCGATATATACTGTACGAGAATCGTAGACGTACTACGGGTACCAATGCGAATCATAGTGCGAATGTTAGTAGCAGGAATACGAAGGAAACTAAGATGAATAAGATGAACGATCATCTTACTAGCAGCAATAAGACGAATACTAGTCATATGAATAAGAAAATCTGCAGAACACAAGTCATACGAATACGAATACGAATACGATTACGAGTGGTAATAATACGAGCGGTATCAATCAAACGAGTGAAATTATACACCAGTACTAGTATTGATAGTACTACAAATATTCATATTAAGATTAATGCTGATACAACTATTAATACTTGTATTAGCACCAGCGCGAATAAGGAACACACTAAGACGATTCAGAGCAGTCGTATTAATGATAATCATTAAACAATGGAGCTAATCCTCGTAAGATAATATCGCCACGAAAAAGAAGAAGCGTAGGAATAATATGAGGAGGAAGAGGAGGAAGAGGAGGAAGAGGAGGCGGAGGCGGAGGCGGAAGCAGAAGTGGAGGAGGAGGAGGAGGACGAGGAGGAGGAGGAAGAGGAGTAGGAGGAGGAGAAGGAGGACTAGGAGCAGTAGCAGGAGGCGGAGAAGGAGGACGAACCTGAGGAGGATCAGAAATAGCAGGAGAAACAGGAGTTGGGGGAGGAAGGAATTGGGAAAGGAGACGGCGAAGAGAGAGGAGGAAAGACGCAGGAGGGGGGAGGTACGAGGACCCCCGCCTCTCCCCGTTCCGGCGCGTCGCTGGCAGGTCCCCGTGGTAGGCTCGGACTACCGCGAGGCGATGCTGCGGGCCGAGGCGGGCAGGGGCGCGGCGGCAGTGGCAGGCGCCGCGCGCCAGCCCCGCGCCGGCCACGCTGGGGGGCCCCCGAGGGCCCTGGGAGGCGGGCGGGCCGCACGGGGCACTATGAGGGAGGAGTCTGGTGAGGGAAGGAGGGAGGGGCGCGCGCTCAGCCTCTGAGTGGTACTTTCTTGGGCGAGCCACTGGGCGAACGCAAGCGCCCGTGGCGTTCTATGAGTGACCCTGCCGCTGACGCCAGGCCACTCTACCAGACGCTGCCCCGTGGCACGTTAGTCGGCGCGGGACAGGTCACCTCTGGGGTGGAGGAATGAGGGAGGAATTGGGGAGGCAGGCGGGGCGGAGGGGGCCTCGGGAGGGAAGGGGCTGGTCGGGAGGGGTGGTAAGGCTTCGGGTAGTGCGCAAACAGCCGCCCTTGGTAGTCTTAACTGGCCTCGGCAGGCCCCCGAGTAGGCCAAGCTGGCCACAGCAGGACCCCCGAGTAGGCCGGGTCGATGTCAACACCTCAACTTTGTGGCGCGGAACGTCCCAGGAGCGCCGCCAGCGGTGGCGCTGGGGTGTTGAGACCGCTCTGGGCTATTCGGGGGTCCTGTGGAAGCCAGCGGGGACTACCCGGGGGGGCTGTCTGTGCGCGGCGCGGAGCCTTAGGAGGGAGGAGCTTTGTTTTTCCGTCGGAAGAGAGGGAGGAGGAATAATGGAGGCGGGGCGAGGCAAGGCCATGAACTGAGAGCAGGGCTTGAGTGCTTTCTCCGTTTTTGGTCTCCCGTGGCCCGCCGCGGGCCCTGGAGTTGTCAGAAACTGCAGGATGAAAATCTATTGCTGGGGGAAGGCCCGGGGTCCCAGATCTCTTCCCCTCAGGAGGAATGAGTCGAGGACGCGTGAACTTGGATTAACAACGCGTGGATTACAACGGGTCCGTTTCCGTGCGGAATCGGTGCGTTGTGTCGCAAAATCGGGCGGCATGGGCCTTACGTTGCGGGGGATGCCTTCCCCGATCCGTTGATCTGGCGCTCTGGCGCCAGATCTTCGGATCCCTAAATCATATTCAAATCTGTTTGGATGAGGGAAGAATATTTGGTCTTGGGGGACCCTGGGGTCCAGGACCCGTTTCCTTCAGGACCTGTTCGTTCCATGCCACAGGGACGAGGGGGAGGACAGAGGGAGCAGCAGAAGGATGGATGGGGAAGGGGTGGGGGAGGGCTGCGAGGTGGGATGTTTGGATGGAATGCAGCATGTGGGAGTGAGGAGAGCGGGGCCGCACAACGGTGTGGCTCAAGCTTTTTCCGAGACCGCCCCGGCGGTTTCGGATGTGGGCACAGGCTATCTTTGGGCGTGGGAGGCTTCTCTCACGTACTTTGCCTCCTGCCCCAAAGCTCCTCTCTGTCCCCAGTGTCCTCAGTGCCCTGCGATTCCGGTGCTGCCTCTGCCTGTCCCGCGTGTCCTGGCGCGCCCGCGCCCACCGCTTCGCCGCAGGCCAGTGGCATCGGGATCGGCTTCCCGGACCTCCGCTGGCTGGTGCTGGTGGCGGGGCTGCTGGCCCTGGCGAGCTGTGGCTGCTTGGGCGCCGTGTGGGGGGGCCTCGGCAGGCCCGATCGGCGCAAGCAGGCGGCCTCCCAGAAGAGCGACACGCAGCCGTCCATCGCAAATCGTGAGATGAACGTGGGAACGCTGGCCCAGGAGCTTGACCGTGCTCCTTCAGCGGCTTTTGCAGGCCTGAGATGGCTGCGGCGGCGCCTCCGCCAGTGCAGAGCCTCGGGATCGAGGTGGGGATTCGGCGCGGTGGAGTACAACGTGCCCGGGGCGCCGCTGTTTCACGAGAGAGGCTCGTGCTGATAGAGCCAGGGGCTGGCACAACGGTGAGCGCGCTGACCCCAGACGGGGGAAACTATGAGGAAGACTGGTTGCAAGATCCCGACATCGTGTGGTTCGGCTTGATGGCTGGAGGCACGTGCGGAACTGCAACCCTGGCTGGAGCAGATGAGGTCGCTGTGTTTGTCAACCGCTTCCAGCGCGTGCTGACGCCCGCTGTTTTCGCGGTGGAGAAGGCCGCGCCGGCAGCGCGGCGGGGGCTCCCCGTGCTTGCCGACGGGAAGCAACCCAACTTGGCGGGACGTGTTCTCGGAGGCGGAGGTGCTGCTCCCGCTGCCGCGCCGCTTGCTGGGACTGGCCCACCTGCGCCCGGAGTCGGCGGAGGTGTCGGGGTGCTGGCCGCTGCCTTTGGTCCAGCTTCAGGGCTTCCAGGAGCAGGAGGCGCGGTCGCCGCGGGCGGCGCTGGAACTGCCGCTGCCGCCGCGGCAGCCGTGCCGGCGGTGGGCGCTGCGGTGCCCGCGGGGCCGATCGTGGCGGCCCCGCTGCCAGGTGTGGGCCACGGTGGTGTGCTGGTGCCTGCTGTCGGAGGCGCTGTGCTCGCTGCAGCCGTCGGGGCCGCCGCGCCCGTCGTCGACATTCGCATCCAGCCAGATGCCCATGATGCATCAGGTTTCGTTTGGCCGTCGAGGGGATGGTGGAGACACCGCTCAACGACTTTCTTGTTCGGGGTTGTCGTACAACGCTCTGGCTATGTCGTGCCATGGCGTCCAAAGGTCAGACTACACATGGCAGGCGTGCGAGGTGGAAGGCAGATGCGAAGCTTCAGGACAACGACGGTGGTGTGGAGAACCATTTGATGAACTGTCAGATGCTCGAGAGTAAAGCGACGTTTGGCCAATGTAGCCTGCCCGACATAGCAGCCGCCGAGATCATGTCTCGTTCAGTTCAGCTCTCCGAGGAGAGGCGCAGAGACAGGGTGCCCACGTTATCGGGCGGCGGTGGCGATGCTGCTCAGGATGCGTTTCGGCGCATGGGTCTCGGTCGTTCTCGCGGGAAGGTCACCGCGCGCCCTGCTCCGCAGTTCTGGGCGTCACTCGAACTTCAGAAGGAGGCGTCCGTCATGACGGAGCGGCGCAAAGATCGCGAGGAGAGGGCCAGCGCCAAAGCAACTAACAAGGCCAATAAGGACGAACGCGACGATGGCTGAGACTTCTCGGGCGGCGGGAAGCGGCCCCGGGGGCCAGCTGAGCAGGGCCGGCCCGTGCCAGGCCCGCCCCCTCCCGGCCTCGATCTGGAGGCCCCTCCCGCTTTCAGCTTCCCCCCTGCGCCGCCGCTGCCTGGCCCCTCGAGTCGAGCAGGCAAGCGCGCCTGTAGCGATCGTGAGCGGGGCGTCTTTCTTTCTGGTTTTTTTCTCTGGCATGGGGGGCGCGGCGTCGGCGGACAGATGCGTTCCCGCGCCGCGATGTGCAGCGACGGCGCGGGCGTGTCCAGCAGCGTCGACTTTGGGCTGATGACAGAATCTCTTGCCTCGACGCGACGTCGGGGGAGGGGGCGAAGGGCGCGTCCGACTGCGCAGAGAATGGCGGCCAACGGAATGCGCTGACGCACGTCCGCGAATGCTTTTTCATGTGCATCTGCTGCTCCACCAGACCTTGCTACTGGCGCGGGATCTCCGCGCGTGATCTGCACGGCCTCGGGGCCCCCTATGGCGACGGGCATGGGCCCGCGCGGGGGCCCTGCAACCGGCGATTGCTCGCCCTCCCCGATCAGGCAGCCGCTGCTTATTTGACGACTATGCTATCTCCAGGAGTCTCTACTTGGTTGCGTGCTTATCAGGTCAATTCGCTCAGGGATGTCAATGGAGCCAGGAGCTTGCATCAGGAACTGGGTCCTCGGGGGCCTTACGTCGACCTCCTCCTGAAACGCAGCCCCGCCGCCTACTCCGACCCCCCCTTTCTCCTTTATGCCCGCGGGGTGCTTGGGTGGGTCGCGGCCCCAGAGACCCCCGGCCTCGGCGCGTTTTTTCGCTGCCGACAAGGATGGGGGGGATCCGCGTCATTTTCGATGCCCGCGTCTGCAGCTATTCTTTCAGGGGGCCCTTATGCACTCGACTGCCGACTGCCTCGTCGCTCAGTCAGGTAGAGACCGACGGGCGGGCCCGCGTGGCCACGGGCGACGTCGATGCAGACTTTCGACTGCCGCGCATGGCGGCCCGACGCCCAGGGCCCAAGTGGCTGAATGGGCAGCGCTTCCATTCTACTGCGTTTATCGTTCCACAGCGCTGTGTTATTCTAAGGTTGGTCATGGTCATCACTGTTATGTCGGAGCGTCGTTCGGTATGCTATCGCGTCTGCGGGCGCCCCCGCATCTCTCGTTATCTTGGATGGTCTACCGGCGGTGGTGATCGGGGGCGGGGGGGGGGGGCGGGGGGCGCTGGGGTGGCGGGTTGCGCTGGCGACGTTTTGACGATCGGGGCGTGCAACAATAAGACCTACCAACGTCTGGGGAGAACTTGTGAGATGTTGGCGCGGATAGGTTTGATGCTGCGCGAGGCGGGGGAGGGCGCCCAGGATTTCAGCGTTTTCGGCCTGCGGCCTTCAGAAGGCGACGGGCCCTCCATTGAGCGCCGCACTCCGTGGCGACTTCGGGTTGCTATCGAGGCGCTGTTGCGACGGCGCCACAGTGGTGGGCGCCTCCTTCGGGCTCTCCTGGGGCGCATCACTTCGGCCGGGCTGACCCGTCGGGAAGTTTACTGCAGCGTTTTCCAGGCGCGTTGCGTTTTTGCCGCGACAACGGCCCCTAGGTCGTGGAGATGTGGCCCGACGTGCGGCGCGAGTTGCGGTCCATCAGGTGCTTGCCGTCTGTCGTTGGCGCATTTGGCAGGGTTTCCGAACAGTGCACCGACGCGCGGAACCGCGCGCTCCTCGATTCCTCGGACCCCAAATCTAGCTCTACACGCGATTATTCCGCGCCCCCAAACGACGGCGACGGCGGCCTCCACGGCGACGACGGCATTGCCGACGGCGGCCCCGACGACGACGGCGGCTCTACCGACGCCAGCGAGGGGGGGAGTTTCGGCGTCTGCGACGGGGCCTGGCGGCCCAGAGGGATCCGGCGACACTCTTGCGCTCGCGCTTGCACTTCCTACCTCTTCCGCCCTCGGTGACGCATCGCGGCCCTATCGTTGGCCGCGGGGCCCCGCCCGCATGTGGGATGGGCCCCCTCAGAACGGAAACCCGCCGACAGGGGATCACGAGGCCAGTTTGGCGTCTTCGCTGACCCATCTTGGCTCGCGGTCCACAGCCAGGATCCAGGCGACTTCGACTCCGGTCGCCGCGCGCCCCAGCAGCGCGTGCCGAGGGCCAGGGCCAGCGCGACGTCATCTCGTCAGCAGCGAGCTTCTACCCGAGACGGCAAGCCGAAGTTGGAGCGATCCACCCGAGCCCGAGATGCTGCCAACGCAGCGGCCGCCGTGGCAACCTTCCCGCGGGTGAGCGCGCTGAAGAAGATCGCTGTGAAGCCAGGGGCGGTGCCGCTGCACCAGGGGGCTCTCCGCTTGATCTTGGTCCACTGCTAGGCGCTGCAGCTCAGCTGGGGCAACGTGGCAGAGGTGGGCACCATAGTAGTTGATTACCTCGACTCCGCGTGCATGGAGGAGCACGGAACCGACGAAACCAGCCACCTGATCGCCGCTCTTGGTTACATGCTCCCGGAGCTTTGCAAGAAGATTCGGTCGGCGCTCCCAAGGGCAGCGAGGTGCGCGGACAGCTGGGCGCGGCGTGCGCCGCCCCGATCTCGTCCGCCGCCGCCCCGCTTGGCGGCGCTGGCGATCGCGGGCGGGGTGGTCGTGCTAGAGTTCCCCAGGATGGCGATTTTGGTGGCGGACTCGCGCGCGCGTTGCCTTCGCCCCGTCGAGGCAATGGCCCTGGTCGGCAAGAGCTGGCAGCGGTGCCCGTAGCCGGCTCTGGGTGCATCATGATGGGCCCGGCGTTGCACGAGACGCCCCTCGGCGCGTCTGGGGAGACGGGCGCCTTCAACGACGCCGTCGCCATCGACGGTCGCTGGCCGTGGGCCCCCCCCAGGCTTGAAGGCCGCCAGCGGCCCTGGCGGCCGCAGTCGAGCTTCGACGGCGAGCTGTGCCGCGAGGCGTTTGCAGCCGTGGCCGAGGGCCCGGGGCCGGGCCCCCGCGCTCCTCGCCCGCGCCAGCTTGGACTCGGAGGCGCCTCGGATGATCTGGCCTCGCGGCGACAGGCCCCCAGGGAGGTCGCGCGGCGCGGGCGGTGGGCCGCCGCCGCCTCGCTCGAGAGATGCGGGAAGGAAACCGAACTGCGGCGAGTGATTCACCAACTTTCCCCATCCGTCTTCGACTTCGGAAGCGAGGTGACCCGGCGCGCCAGCCAGGCCCCCCAGGTGGGCATCGGGACGCGGCGAAGCCAGTTGCCGGTGCCAGTCGAGCTGGGGTCTGGGGCGCGCAGGGAGGTCGCGGAATTCCCCGTGAGGTTGTCGACCAGATCCCCGCGCATCGCCCCGCGTGATCTCTGCTGATCGCATTCGGAAGTGTCTGCAACACCTGCTAACCAGAGCCCAGACATGTGCGACCCGTGACCGACGCGTTGTTCTTCTGGAGCTGTATGCTGGCGATTGGGGTATTAATCGCCTTTTGAGATCCAGGGGGATCCCCGTTCTGAGTCTGGACGTCCGAAACTGCCCATTCCAGGACCACTTGAATCGGACGCTTCAGTCTGTCACCGAGGGATGGATCAGAGGTGGGGTCGCGGGCGCTGTTCGGTTGGGTGCGCCGCGCGCTACTTGGCCTATCGCTGGGCCCCCTGCCATGCGTGGCGAAGACCATCCTTTGGGCGTCCTCGGGCTTGCGCCTCCCCGACAACTCCAGCTCAACATAGGTGGCGATGCGTGTCTATTCCTTACCCAAGTCATCCGCCTCGCTTTCCGATGCAACGCGCCAGTGGCGCTCGAGAATCCAGGGGCCTCTCTGATGTGAACTGCGCCGCAGCTCGTGCAATTCTTGGCTTGCGGCTGCTGTGTCGTGCATGCCTGTGATATGTGTCAGTTTGGCGCCCGCGGGAAGAAGCGGGCCCGCGTCGCCATGTGGAAAGCGGGCATGTGCACGGGCATCGAGCACGCGTGCCATCCTTGCGGTCGTATCTGTTCGAGGGCCGAGAGGCCGCGCATAGAACTGACTGGGCAGTCGGAGGGAAGTTTGTATTGGGCAGCTATTTCAGCCGCCTGCCCCCAGAAGTTCTGCGCCGTCTTGGGTCAGCATTTCATTCTCGTTTTGCAGAATGATAGATCATCGAGATTGAATGAAATATATGAAATGCGGCAACAAGCCAGCTGACTAGTCGGGAACGGGTGTTAGAAGTTCGGGCTTCTGCGACATCCACCGGGGCCGTGCCGGAGTGATCTCGCCTCCTCCTGAGAAAAAATGGCACCGTGGCCCCGTGGGCTCTCGCGGTCGCTGTTTGGATGGAATGAAGTAAGTGGGGGTGAGGAAAGCGGGGCCGCGCAAGGTCGCGGCTCAAACCCCCGCCCTATTCGTCTGCCCACCTTCCTTTCGCCGTTAGCTCTTGTCCTTTCCCCGGGGTGCTGGAGGTTCGGGCTTCTGCGACATCCGCCCGCGCCGTGCGGGAGTGATCTCGGCCCCCGGCTGCCTCGCCTCCTCCTGGGAAAAAGATACCCCCGTGGCCCCGCGCGCCCTCGCGGCCCCTGACAATGATGGCGCTGCGAAAGTGCAACTTCGGAGGTGCATCCGAAGCGGGGCCGCGAAAAGTAATCTGGCAAATGCGTGGGTCCGCGCCGAAGGCAAGAAACGCGGCGCGAGGCGAAACAGCGCGCGTCGAGTAAATGGGCGGCTGTCGACCCACCCACCATCGCGCCTCGATCGCGGACCAGAGGATTCTTCGAGGCTTGCCCGGATCCCTTGGCAAGCTTCTCGGCAACTTCTTGTGGAGAAGGAGCAGGGGGAAGAGGGTGCGAATGATGGTGGCGACGATGCTGGCGATGAATGCTGATAATGATTATGCGGGTGATGCTTTGGATGGCGGCGACGACGACGATGCTGCTGATGATGATGGCGGTGATTATGCTAATGATGGTGCTGATGATGCTGGGATGACGACGATGCTGATTTTGATGATGACGATGATGATGCTGACGATGGTGCTTATGATGATACTGCTACTGGTG